CCCCCGGCCCCGACCCCGCCCGGTTGCGCCGGGCTCAGGGAGCCCGCCGGCCGCCGCTCACCGGTACTCGTAGTGCTCGTCGAAGTACTTGTCCGAGTAGTAGATCTGCTTGTGGGCCATCCTGCGGGCGGGGCGCGGCGCGGGACACGGGGCGCCAAGAGCGGGACAGCGGGCCGCACGTCCGCGACCGGCCAAGGCAACGGCTCGACTGCGACCAACCGACCGCAGGCCCAACGAGTCCGGTTTGAATCCGACAGCCCGCCGCTGATTGGACGGCGGCGCCGACCAATCACCTTCCGCGCGCGCTGCGGGACGGCCGGGGTTCGCTTCCAGCCTATCGTCGCCGCCCATCCGCGGCGCTCCCACCCAGGATCAGCCAATCAGAGGCCTGTTGCGACGTTGCCCGAGGGAAGAAATGGATGATTGGCATGGCGTGGAGGCGGGGAGCTTCCTGAGGGGAAGGGGCGTAGCCAAGGGAGAGCGGCGCCAGGGCCGCGGAGAGCGTGCGCAGGGGTTTAGAACGTTCCAGGTCGGCGGAGCCGTTGGGGCGGCGGGGCGGCGGGCCTGCGGGAGGGGCGAGGTATCGCGGGGTTCGGTTTGGCCAGGGCGGGGCCCCCGAGGAGCGGCCGGCTGTGCGCAGGCGCAGCCTTGCCGGCCGGCGCGCGCACGCGCACCCAGGGACTGCAGGGTCTGAGGGAAGCCGGTGCGCTGCCCCAGACGGGGGAAAGTCGCGTGAGGGGGGTGTGAGGGGCGGCCGCCCGCCGCGGCGAGCGGCCCAGGAGGCGGGCGCGGAGGCCGTGTCGACGGCGGGCGGGGCCGTGACCGAGACCCCCGTGAAGGATGCCCCGCGCCGTCCGCTCCCTGGGGACGGCCCCGCGGACAGGCGCGGGTGCCGGGCGTGTGGGGCCACTGCGCGGGGACGCCCCTCCGGGCCCTCGGCGTTGAAGCGCCTGAGGGCACGTGCGGGCGGAGCAGGCAACGAGGGGACGGGACGTCGCGGGACACTCGAGGGGGCTTCCCGGTGGGCCGCGCGTCCCCGACGAGCCCTTGTCGTTCGGCGTCGACCTGGGCGCCCCCCGGCCTCTCCAGGCGGCGACCCGCGGCGTCGCGGCCGCCCCGGGGCGCTGGGTCCCCTCTGCGCCGCGGCGGCCTCCCTGTGACATGCGCAGAGGCAGCGGCGCCCTGCGCGGGCGCAGCCCAGCCGACGACTCAGGCGGTGCACGGTGGTGTGGGGGCGCCCGCGTCCGGGCCGCGCGTGCGCAGCGCGCCAGCCGTCGGGTCTGTGGAGCCAGGGCCCGCCAGCCCGGGTCTTCACCCGGGGGGACGCAGCCCTCCTCGGGAGCTGCCCTCCTGGGGACGCGGTGTCCCGGGGGCGGCCCCTCTCGGCCGGCGCGGCCCCGATGCCCCTGCCCGCACGAGCAGCCCCTCTGCGCCCCGGTGCTGGTGCCCGAGCGCGGCCAGCCGCCCTGGACGGTCCCTGCGCGTGAGCCCCAGGACAGCTGTGTCCCGGGGCGTCTCCGCGTCTCTCCTCGTCCCCGCCGCCCATCCCGCACCGCCTGCGCGCCGGCCCGGCCGCAGCACCCCCGACGAGTGGGCGTGATAGCGCGTGGGCGTGGAGACCTGGATGGGCAGGCAAGGGAGGGGGCGAGGGCGTCCCTGACTGTCGGGCAGAACGTGGGAAGGAAACGCCTCCTGGGAGACGCGTCTGTGCGGGCGCGCTGGGGAAGATCTCGGACACGGGTGGAGCGGTGTCACAGCGCCCCGGCGGCCGGCTTCCGCAGGTGGTGTCGCGGCCCGTTCCCTCCGTGCCCCTCTTCCCTGTTCTCCTGCAGCTTCTGTAAAGAGATCCCACACAGACGCTTCACTCTGAAGTAATTCTGTGTGTGAGGAAGCTCAGCCCTGAGCTGACATCTGCCGCTCCTCCTCCTTGCTGAGGGAGACTGGCCCCGGGCTGACATCCGTGCCCACCTCCTCCACTTCATGTGGGAGCCGCCACCGCATGGCCCGACAGGCGGTGAGTCGGTGCTGCTGGGGATCCGACCCGGCGAACCCGGGCCGCCACAGCCGGGCCCGCGCCGTTACCGCTGCGCCACCCGCGGCCCCTGTAATAGTGCGTTTGTGGTTGTCTCTGTGCTCACAGTGTGCATCTCAAGAAACATTAGGAAAATACGTACCACTTAAGTTCCTCGTTACTCTGATAGCTACTTTAGGTTCCGATTTCCCCGAGTGTCTCCCAGGTGCCTGTTTATGGTTGGTTGGGTGGAATCTGCACCCACACTGAGGCCTAGGCATTTAATTTGGTTTTTGTCTCTTTTCGTCTTTAAACCACCTCCCTTCCATGCCACCTTTTAAAACGTGCATTTCTCAGAGAAACCACCTTCCACAGTCTGGCTTTGGGTATTTGCTTGCTTGTGGTGTGATTTAATTTGCTTTCCCTATAATCTGATATTTAGATCTAGGTTAAAAAAAATGTTCAGATCCTCATGGCAGGTAGGACTCAGATTTGAGCCCAAGCAGTCTGACTCCAGACTTAGGCCTCTCAGCCTCTGCTGTGTGCTCGCCTGCCTCTCTGATGGAGGGCTTGGCGCTTATGAAGGCCTGAGGAGAGTGCTGAATGCGTTTGGTTTAGAGTAGAGGTCGTGGAAAGGGACGCTGGGGGAAGTGAACCCAGGAGGGTGGATGTGGTATACAGAAAAATGGCCCCCAAAGATGTCCATGTCCTAGTCCCCAGAACCTGCAAATATCTTACCTTATATGGCAAAAGGGACTTTGTCAACGTGATTAAGGACCTTGAGATAGGGAGATTATCCTGGATTATGAGGGTGGGCCCAGAGGTATCACTAAGGTTCCAATAAGGGAGACAGGAGGGTCAAAGAAAGACCTGTGACAGAAGCAGAAGTCAGTGTCGTGACCCAAGCCAAGAAACGTGGGCAGCCTCTCGAAGCTGGAGAAGGTAAGGAATGGATTCTTCCCTAGAGTCTCCAGAAGGAACACAGCTCTGCCAACACTTTGATTTTAGGCTGGTCACGTGTTTTGGCATTGTGTCCTCTGGAACTGTCAGATAATAAATTTGTGTTGTTTTAAGCCACTAAGTTTGTAATAATTTGTTAAAATAGCAATAAGAAACTAGTATAGTGGATTGAGCCAGAATGGGAAGGGATTCTTGGACTGTTTGCTAAGAAGTATAGTCATTTTGATTAATATGGGGCCGGCTGGTGTTCTCAGCAAGGAAGTGGCACAATCACATCAGTGATGAAAGTAACAGAGATGTGGAGGATGGACTGGAAGGAATCGCCTTAACATGGGGTCCCTATTAGAAAGTCATTGCATCTGTTAATGTAATTCACCACATTGACAGTATATAGGAGAAAAAAATGAACCTCTCAATAGACGCAGAAAAAAAATTTGATAAACTTCCCCACTCTTATAAAACAAGACTCTTGGTAAACCCACCACTCGCTGGTGATACCACTCTTAGCAAGTAGGAGGAGGAGGAAACTTTGTTAGCCTTGAAAGGTATCTATAAAAAAACATAGTTAATATAATTCTTATGGGGAAATGTTAGAAACATTCTCTTTAAAATTGTGTATTATCTCCAATTATATTGAACAGTGTCCTGGAAGCCATAGGCAGCAGAATTAAAAGAAGAAATTTAAGGCATGATAATTAGGGAGAAATAAAACTGTCATTTGCAACTGATTATATATATCTGGGTATAAGATCACTATACAAAAGTCTATTTTATTCCTGTACACCAGAAACAAATAACTAGAAAACATAGTCAAAAAGAAATATTATTGCATTAGCATCAAATGTCATGTGCCTAGGAATAAGCCTAACAAAAGATACACAAAGCCCTGACAAGCAAAATTATGAAACTTTGAGAGACGTAAAAGAAGACTTGAATAAATGGAGAGATATACTGTGTCATGCTTAGGAAGAGTCAGTATGGTAAAGATATAAATTCTCTCCAGATTGACCATAGAGTCAGTCTAATTCTAATAAAATACCACATTCAAGGAACTTACTTGATTCTGAAATATATATGGATGAGAAAACGGCCAAGAGTAGCAGAGACACTTCAGTGGACTCTAACAGATCATGATCTACTAAGAGGCTGTAGTGACTAAGACAGCGTAGCAGCGGCTTATAAAAATCAAGATGACGTACTGGATAGACAAACTGACTTTGGGACGTCATAGCCAGCTGGTGTAATGTTCATTGCAGCTTCGTGGTTGTAGATACCCTTTATCATTTTGAGGATGTACTCTTTCATTCCTAGTTTGCTAAATTTTTATCATAAATAGACGTTGTATTTCATCAAATACTTTAAAAGTTTTTATTTCTTGTATTTAAGTTTTTAGAATTATGAATATAAGTTGTAAATATCATAAAAGAAATGAGGATATATTAGCAATATTAGTAACTGCAGTCTTAAGGATGAGTCAGATGGCAATAGTATTGAAAACTAAAGAGTTGAAGTAAAAAATTCAGTAGGTAAACTGAAAGTGGTGTGAATATAATGAAGAACAAATTAGTGAGCGAAATGATATGAGTAACAGTTCCAGAAAGCATCAGGAAGGGGTAAAGAGATGGAAAATGTGGAGTAAAAAGACATGGAGGCTAGAAGGAGAAGTGGCAACTGTTGTTACAGGAAGAGTCCCAAAGAGAGACAAAAAATAAAGGAAATACTTGTACAGATAATGGCTGTGAAGTCCCTAGTTTTAAGGAAAGATAAAAGACTTCAGACTGAAAGGGCTTGTAGAGTGCTAAATAGTATAGATAAGAAAAATATAACCGTAGAGAGATTATAGTGCAATTCAAGAACATCAAAAACAAAGGAAAGTTCTAAAAGCTTCCAGGGAGATATTGCAGATCACACCTACAAAGCAACAAGAATAGATTGACAATGGCAATCTCAAAACAAGCACTGGATTCAATTAGAAAATGGGTTACTGTTCACAAAGTGTTCAATGAAAGAATACAAATAAGTTGAAGACAGTGATTCACAATATATTGGAAATAAAGCAAAGTAACTGCACATTTATTGTTGTCCAAAAAGGTGAAGATTTAAACAAATGTTTATTGTTAACAATTTAGAAACCAACATGACTAGAATAGGGAGGATCAGAGGGCAGTGAGTGCATGCTAAGGTGCTTTGCAGCTGTTGATAAGTTTTGGAAGTTGAGAGAGATTAGGAATCCATCACCAGAACTGTCGGCTACAATCACTTTGTTCTTGCTACTATCTGCCGTAGCAAAGTTACATGCTTCAAGTACCACATTCCTCCTTGGAGTAAATTTTAACTTGTCACAAATACCTCCCATCCTACTACGCATGCCCTTTGCAAAGGGACTTCACCAGTCCTTCCATCAGTAGGTGAAGTCTGTTTCTCCACCCTGGGTCTGGTCTTGTGACTTGCTTTGACAAACAGAATGTGACTGAAGTAACATTATGTGACGGCAGTTTCTGCTTTCTCCGTCTTGAAATGCTGCCCTGGAATGTGATCACAAGGTAAGAGGCTGTGGAGAGGAGAGCTAAGTTGCCCTGCCATCAATTAGCACCAAACATGTGCGTGAGGTGTTGCAGTGAGACCAAGAAAAATGAGGAAAGGAACTACCCAACCAAGCCTCAGAATCAAGAGAAAGAATAAATTATTGTTCTAAGTCACTCATTTTGGGGAGGGGGTAGTTTATTATGCAGCAATAGACAACTGATACACCCCCCCTTTTATCTTGGATCTAATTCAAGTCTCGTAGAAGTATGTCTGATGGGGAAACTTAATTACATCCAGAATCACAGCTGCAGTGAAATCCATGAAATGTTTTTAGTTTTCCAACTTCTGTTGCACTGGAGGGGTATTGGAATAGATCATGAACAAGACACAGTTTTGATCTATATACTAATTTGAAAACCTAGGTAAGATAAATCTTGAAGCACATTGGTCTAGATACTAGAAAAGGAGGGAAAACAGTCTAACTCATTTTATGAGGCTAACATAACTTTTACACCAGAATCAGAGAAGGGAAATAAGAACAAAAGCAAAATTACAGTCATTTCAATTTTAAATGTAGATGTGAATTTAGCTAAGTGAATCTAACATTTTATTAAAAATTGCATTAAGTAGTGTTTGTCTCAAAAACTCAATGGCAGTGAGTTTAGTAGCAGTGAGCCAATCTATCAATGTAATTCACACATAATGGACAAAAGAGAAAAGAAATACCATGTCAATATGTGCAGAAAAAGCATGTGATAAAATTGAACTGTGATTTATAACAAAAATGATCAGGCTAGAGGAAAACTTCTTACTTGATAGAGGCTACATACCAAATCCTACAGCAAAAACATATTTAATGGAGAAGCTTTAGATACATCATGTCTCTTTAAGATTGGGAATAGTACAAAGATACCTGCAGTCACCACATGCAAATACAGTCTTTTCCTATGTGTACCATGATGTGAAAAAGAGTGCAAGCACTGCCATGAAGTATTTAAGACTTTTTTTTGTTTTGTTTTGTTTGGTGAGGAAGATCAGCCCTGAGCTAACATCCATGCCAATCCTTCTCGTTTTTTGCTGAAGAAGACTGGCCCTGGGCTAACATCCATGCCCATCTTCCTCCACTTTATATGGGACGCCACCACAGCATGGCCCGACAAGCGGTGCATCGGTGCGTGCCTGGGATTCGAACTCAGGCCACCAGCAGCAGAGCGCGTGCACCCAACTGCTACGCCACGGGGCCAGCCCCAAGTATTTAAGACAACCTCACAATGACTGCACCAGATCTTTATGAAGACAGCAAAAGATCTGTACAGATGGAAAGATATATTTATGGTACTACCAATGTAATATTGTGAGGTGTTAGTACTCCCCAAATAAATTTCTAAGTTTATTGCAATCCCAATAAAAATTCCAGAGAGTTTTTTAAGAAAGTTGAAAAACTTATTCTAAAATTTATATGGAGGCATAAAGATCCACAAATAGCTACATCAGTTTTGGAAAT